TACTGTCACGGCCGTCATGATTAGCACGTCGAATGACTAGCGCTTCCGGCGAAATGAGATGAGGAGGAGGGTACGTATTAGCAAAGACACTTGAAGGACATGAGGGTTTTATCGAGGGAGACAGAAGCAAGGGACGCATTACTTACTATCCTCGTGAGGAATCGAGGATGAAAAAAAAAGAAATGAAGGAAAGCTAGAAGACGTCACATAAAGGAGGAGAGAATCGGCACGGTAAGTATGAGAAGGTAAAGAGAGGAGATACCGCACGCCAGGACCCGTTGTCCAATTGGATATAGCGACCAACCCCGTGGCTGCCATTTTTCGAACGCCATGATTCCATAGCGCACCAAACTAACCGAATGGACGAGAAGCAAGTGCACAACAAGAGAAAAACGCCGTTACATCTGCGCTCATCAAACATTTACAGGCAGTTGCTTTGTATCAGAAAAACTTGCACTGGGTGTCACCTGCACGAAGGAAACCTGTTCTCAGAGGTCATCTGTACGGGACGTTACCTGTTCCTATTCTACCTGCAGCGGATACACCTGCGCTCGGGTGACCCAGGTTTAGAGATACACCCACACTGCCAAAAATGTGTATGAATTGTAATCCTGCGAACGACTACTATAGTAATTTGTTTTTGTTTTTGAAAAATAAAATTTCTGATAATTTTTGTTTTACGAAAATGACCATCGTTTATCATTATCAATGAAATATTACAACTGCAAAGATGGACAGCGAAGAGCATCCAATATTCCACGGCGGAAGAAAAATATGCAAAGGCAACACTTCGCGCGTCACGACCATTAGGGTTTCGTGTGAAGGACGCAAGGCATCGCGCCCACGAGGGACAGCACCCGCAGAGCGTTCCCCGATTCACGAGCATTACGTCCAATTTGGGCACGCGGCCTTGGCTCGCTCCTGCCACCTCTCACATAATGGAACAAATAATTACAAAGCGGGCGTACGGGATGAAGCCCCGAGGCACCAGAACAAGAAAGTGTCATCACCTGGAGGCGTGCAGTGCAGCGTTCACGCTTGAGTTCCTGCTAGCGAAGGCGTGAGCGTGGGCGGCATTCTGGTGCAGCGAGGGCGTGCTCTTGGCTGGCACCAGAGAGGACGAGGACGAAGTGGCACCACCTGGATTGACTAGCGACTCAGCGAAGGAGGTGAGGCTCTCTGCCGACGGGTATCGCGGCAGCGGAGACCGTCTGGAGGAGGCCCGGCCCGCCGAGGACCTGGTGAGGGTGGTGGACTCGGAAGATGCGCCCCGCGACGAGGAACTGAAGGAGGAAGGAGAGGCGCCCCTGCTAGCTTCGGTGACAGTGGCCTCGCCAGAGGAGGAGTCCTGGGAGGCTTCTGCGCCGCTGGTGCTCCCCGCAGGCTGCCACGAGGCTCGGCGATCAAGGGTGCCGCCGCCACTGCGGAGAAAAACAAAGCAGTTAATTACAACTCTTTATAATTCTTCTGTCAGTACTTACTGACAACCTGTGACGCAGTAATAATTGGTAACAACGAAACAATGCTAATAACAGGGGCAACGACGGAGGCGATGAAGATGTAATGATATCACGTCAATGAAGCTGAGTCATAACTCACTCCACAAAGGGAGTTCCGTAAAGTCTCGACGGCAGGGAAGGGTTAACGCCGCGAGAGGAAGATGGATGAAGTGCCAGTCTCCGATCCCCCAGAGAAGAAAAACGTTCCAACAATGAGATGTTCTGCCCCGCCTCCGCCCACCGCCCATGAAAGGACCTCCAGTAATCCCGTAGCTCCTCCACATCGCACGAAGCCGCCTTCCTTCCCCCCCCCCCTCTCCCCCAATGTGTGAGGATCAGCACCGAGAGACGGGATTAAGTCGCATCTCAGACCATAAAAAGATCACAGCTGAGCATATAAACAACTCCCTTTGTGCCTCCGACCCGTACGTTCAACAGAAGCCAGCCCCACCATGCAAAGTGTAAACAGACCGAGAGGATACTGTCGTCCGAAAGCGATCAATGATTAAATGAAATGAAAGGCGAGTAACCAATGGCTCGTGAAGATTATATAAACAAGGTAATAAAGACGGGATTAAACGGGACAAGTAACCATTTTCTCCTCAGGACTCCCGGGTGAGGAGAGTGAGGACACCGGCGGTTAAAGCAGCGGTCCCGAGGTCCAGGACGGCTGACATTTGCCTCCATACGCTCGCTCGCGCCAACGCCGCCGCCAACCGCCCCGGCATTCCACAGCGGCCGGATCTGTCTTGGCTCACCTACCCTCCTGCCACGCATCTCTGCCTATCCCACATCATCCCAGACACGCTATCCCAACTTACATTGCGTAAAACAAAAAAGACTGATCTCCTGCTCTCTGTGATAGAAGAAACACCATCAACAGGAGACAGCAATTCTCGGAGGTAACACCTGATAGTCGAGGAAGGCGGAGGTGACAGCCTTATAATTGGCTCCATGACAGAGGCCCTCACGATCCCAGAGTGATGGGGACCTTCTTTCATCCCGCGTTTTCTCTCTTTTTTATGAACGTCTTGGCAGAGTAAATATACATTCATGAATAGTAAATACTTACCATTCAAGAGAAGGATGACAATTTAGGTAAATATTTACCAATTTCGTAAAATTTCAAGCTCTACAAATTCTTTCATCTTCCCTTTTGTTCTTATAATCATCAATAGTCCATGTTATATTCTCACAAGCTCCTGAAAAAATGGCTTGACCGTGTTATCAAATACGCAGTTACATTTTCTGTTAATTAATCCCACCTGTTTAGTATTCAGTGTGGCTGGGAAAACGTCTACCTTTCTCGCACCAAATTACTATCTCTTGGTGTTATCTACTTATAAAAGACCCAACGTACACCCTTTCTACACACCGTCTGGCCTTGCCTCCTCTCACACCTTGATCCTCGCCCTCGCATCTGACCACCAAACGATCAAATCATAAATAGCAAATCAGCTGGAATATATAAATAAGTAAACAATAATGAAGCCCTGGGAGTCAACGAACGAGAAAGCACAGCACTTGGAACGAAGAATGGCAGAATCCAACGCTGGTTATTTACCTATTTACCCATTAAATCCTTAAAGAACAGTCCCAGATCAAAAGCAGGAGGTCATTAGGATCAGCACGTAAATCCTCAGGTACGTGGTATATTCAGTGCCCAACCAACAGGGTAAAAAGGATGATCTTAATCGTTTAATATCCAGCTTTTCGGATTTGCACCATCAATCGCACCTGTCACGTCATCTTCCGAGTCAAACGCACTTCACAGAGAAGAAGAGTCCCTTAATTGTTTTTGCCTTCGTGAGAGCAACAGGTAAGAAAAAGGTATATTCACACGAGTAGGAAGGAAGATCGAAGAACCAAGCATACCTCTGCCTCGACCCCCCCCCCCTCCCGAGCCACGAGTCTCCTTGACTTGCACAAAAACCGCCGCCCACAACCCGCCCATTACCTAGCGCTGCCACCACAAACCTCGAGCTGCTTGCTGGGTTTTGTCTTAGTCACTAATGCTGATATTATCCGACGCGTGTTGGTAATGGCTCGTCATACGGGTGCGTAATATCCTTCTTGATAGTCCTGTAATCTTAATTCTAGGATTTATTCGTTGAAAATGGCTGAAAAGGCGTTGGTGGTGTGCGACGGCGGAAGCGGCACAGGGGGTGGAAGAGAAACGTGGAAGTGGGAGTGAAAAGGAAGGTGGAGCCGGAATGGAGAGCGCAGTCGGGGGAGGATCCAAGGATGCGAAGGGACATGACCTAACGGCGCCCTGAGACACGAAAAAATACGGCACTACGGACGAGCCGGACATAAGGGCTATTCTAGGGCGAGAGATCCGCACATGAGAGCGAAGGGGCGTGTCTTCGTGCATGTAAACGTGTGAAATAAGCCCCGCCCCTTCCCTCCAGCCCGGCTTGACCTTGATGGCGACAAACATTTTTTAGACGTTATTCCAGGACGACTTTCTCTCTCTCCCTGGGCGACGGCGGGAGCCTTCATTATCCCTCCAGGGCCCCCGCGTTCGTGCGTGCGTGTGTGTGTGTGTGTGTGTGTGTGTGTGTGTGTGTGTGTGTGTGTGTGTGTGTGTGTGTGTGTGTGTGTGTGTGTGTGTGTGTGTGTGTGTGTGTGTCGTGTGTGTGTGTGTGTGTGTGTGTGTGTGTGTGTGTGTGTGTGTGTGTGTGTGTGTGTGTGTGTGTGTGTGTGTGGTGTGTGTGTATGTGTATGTGTATGTGTATGTGTGTGTGTGTGTGTGATATTCATTCATCAATATAGACATACCTACATATACATATACATATACATATATATATATATATATATATATATATATATATATATATATATATATATATATATATAGACAGATAGATAAACAGTCTACTCGTTTCCCTTCCCAGGCCGCCCTCCTCTAATAACGTCCTTGGAACAGCAACAAAAAGGCAGTCATCCTCTGCGGCCGTAATCCCCGCCGCCTCAGCCTTCGGCGTCGCAGGCTCACCACGGCGACCCGGGATCGATGGGTTTACGACGACTCCCACCGGTCAGCCAGGGGGATGGGGGGTGGGGGGGGGGATGGAGGAAGGAGGGATAGGGGAGGGGGATCGCCTACTCCCGCAACTGCCCCAAACCTCCCTCATCATCACCCTCTTCCCTCCCGGTCCTGCCCACTCATACGCAATTAAGAGCTAACCACCTATTCCTCCGCGACTTCAACGGCACCTGTTTCACAAGCAGCCCCCCCCCTTCCCCTACCAAGGGAAGTCCCCTGCTATTACTGCGCCTCCGGCCTAACCGCTCTATCCCTGAGCAATGCCAAGCACAGCTGTCCATGCTTTGCCAGAACAAGGTGCACGGGACCTAACCTTCGCCCCGCATGCCATCTGCCGTGCCATCCCTTGCCATCTGCTGCACGGCGCCTCAGCCTCCCTTCTTGTGTAAAAGCAATCTCTGGAGCTGAATCCCGCCACTCGAGCACTTCTGCATTTTGTGTGTAATTCCACACTATTCTTCCTTGGTGAGAATCCAAACAGGACAGTCATAATACCAAGGGGCTTGGCGACGGCATGTGACGTGATGGAAAGAAATACACCCACGCAGCTTAAATACCTCCCCGCCAATAAGCTGGGACTCGAGATAAGCCCGAGTTAAAGGCCCGGCGAAAATCTCCCGCAGGAGCCCGGGCGAGTCTGGGCGCCTGCACGGCCAAGGTTGGATCGCCGTAATTTCCTGTCGCGACTCTAATCCCTCACGTTCATCGCTTTGCCGCCGTCCTGCCGGGCGATTACGTCTTCCCCCTACACATGCCGCGGGCGGATCGCACGGAAGGGATATCCTGGTTATTTGTGGTCCATAACTCAGTTAAGTCTCCAGTCAGGCTCTCCGTGACTTCCGCCCGACGAAGGAGCGAGGGAGGCGAGTCGCGACTCACTCGAGGCTGATCCTGACTCGGGGATCTATTCGCGTCACATTGCGTACGACGGCGTTGCTGTCATTTCACAGTCTATAATCTTGAAAGTGACACCAGGCAGGACCTACAGCATTTCAAATCCTTGACACTGGCATTAGTTCTTAAGCTAATACAAGTCCTCACAATTGTCCTTCTAAATATGCACCATTATATGCTTCCCAAATGAGCATTCCCAAAATAAACCCAGGGTGCGAAATACATAAATAAATAAAAATAGACAAAATCTTATACCCAAGTCGAGGAAATGTAACCTATAAAGAAATCCCAACACACACTTTTCGTCCGGCGCAAACAATAGCCTCCCAAGACCCCTGGGAAACGCAAGTCGGACATGTCATTCCCCGTGACACTATATCGCGTGAAAAAAGGTGTACAATGGAGGAGAAAATACATGACATGCACTCGAGTCTCGTTAAGTTTGAGAACGCCGAAGAAAGGAAGAAAACAAGGCACTCGACCCCACGTGATACACACCCAAGATCCAGCGAAGGGAAATTTACACTGGATACGAGTAAATATGCGGCTGTATAAACTCAGGTAGCATAGGCCTATGCATAGTTTAAAAGGGGGTCCAGGAGGCCATAACTTAAAGGATTCCATGATATCCGGGAAGGTTTCTAAGCCTCTAAGACAAGTTACCCGAAGCAGAAAGCTCAATTCGCACTGGTTCATTTGTCTCTGTCATGGACGCCACTAAAGACTGTCCTCGGTTCAACTATGATTGGTCGCCACTTTACCACAACCACAAGACTGCTCGTAGCTTCTTAAACTCTGACACTACGGAAGACTGGATAACTGTGCTGATAGTAATATGTAAATAGCAACGGAAGTCTGGGATCCTAAAAAAAAAAAAAAATAAGTATAACAAAAGCAAACGCCAAGACCTCGAAACAGACAGGTTGCCAAAAGGAAATTCGCATATGAAAGCAACAAAGCTCCAGCGTCCACAATGCAAGCGAAAAACTGGAATGTGGGCAGTATCTCGCAATGCCTCCTTTAAAAAAGTAATAAATGTGCAAATGAGTTTGGGGAGTTGAGCTCCATCTCCCGAAAATACGACCCACCCAAATCACCTTGCATCATCATGCAAGGGAGGCAAATGTGAGGAAAGGGGAGAGGGAAAAGGGAAGAGGGAAGGAAGAAGTGAAGAGAAGAGAAGAGAAAAGGGAAGAGGGAATAGGGAAGGGAGAATAGAATAGAACAGAAGAGAAGGGGAAAAGAAGATAGAAAACATAGAAGGGAAGGTATGGGAAGGTGGGAAAGAAAAGAGAGGATAAAGGATACAAAACAAGAGAAGACAAAACAAGAATAGACAATGAAAAGGAGGAGTAAGTAAGAAAAGAGAAGAGACCATTATACCTCCCCTCGTGACGCCGACTGTGCAATGCGTAGGTCCATCTCGAGCGAGGGAGCACGGAGGCGCCGCTCGCAAAGGCAACGACACACGGGCCAGACGGAAGTCCGACCCGCACTCGCGCCCTCGCACGGCTAAAAAGGGCTCGGCCGGGCTCTCTACACCAGCCGCTCGCCAAACACGGATCGCGGGCGTCATCAGAGACACGTACGCAACGCCCACACGACGCATTCATGTTGCCGGGGGAGGGGGGAGGGAGAGGGGAGAGAGGGAAGGCGGGAGAAAGGGAAAGAGAGGGAGGGAGAGAAGGGGTAAGGGGGAGCGCGGCCCAAAACACGAACCCTTCTTCATGCACTTCCATTTAAAGAAACATACGCAACTGCAAGAACCGACTCCGGCGCATGTCAAGAGCGGCTCTGCATTCGACCAGGCCATCCACCAAGACCCTCGAGGACTTTCTACAAAATACTCCAGACGCGACAGAGAAATGAAGCTTCCGTTGAGGGGGCGACCGCAAACCCTCCGCACGACGTTGCCCATTGCAACGGAAGGAAGTATGTTGCATACGAATTTGCCCATTTTAGATTCTTGCCTCCGCGCGCCTTGTTGTTGCAACTTCCCCTTACGCAGCGACAAATATCGCAGGGCGTATATTCATCCTTCTCACAAAATTCGCA